ACATAAAACATTCTACAGCCATAAAAGAGAATGGGATGGAATGCTATTGATTCCATCCATTAACAGCATTTATGAATGCTATCAATAAACAGGAAAACAAACTACTGATAACACATATAACAACCGGGATAAATGTCAAGGGAATTACAGCAAGTGAAAAAGGCCAAAAAACCAATCCCCAAAGGTTACATACTATATGATTTCATTTACAGAACATTCTTTAAATGATAAAATTATAGAAATAGAGAACGGATTAATGGTTGCCTAGGGTCAGAGGTGGTGGCAGGAGTGAGAGAAAGATGGGGGTCAATACACAAACCTACACATGTGATACAACTGTATAAAGACAGATCCATAAAATACATACATATTCTGTGCCATTTACCTGTAAAGAACAGAAATACAGGTAAATTTCTAAAAATTGTCAGTGAAGCTCCTTACAATTAGAAGGTACTTTTGGAAGACTGAGGAGGAGGAAAGAGAAGAGACGGAGAAGGGGGAGAGGAGAGTAGGAGTCGGATGAGAATGGGACTGTTCCCGTGTGACCAGAAGACCTCCTAGACACTGTAACAAAAAACAACACGGCAGTGTGGGTAGCACTCTACCATTTGGGTAAAGCGAAATTAATTGCTTAGCCACAGAATTTTTCTGAAAGGACACAAAAGAAAGTCAACATTGGTTGTCCCTGTAGATAGGAGAGTGGGAGGTTGAGGACGGGGATGGAAAGAAGATGTTACTATACATACTCTCAAACCTTCTGAATTTTATAACATATGACTGTATTACTTGTTCATAAAAAAATTACTATTTTCTTTTTGAATATCAAATAGGCAAATCAATGCTTCAGCGCCTTCACCTTTGTTCACATGTGTGGTCTGGCAACAGCTTTCCATTAGTACTCATCCCTTCCTGGGTTGGAAAGATCCCCTGGAGAAGGGAAAGGCTACCCACTCCAGTATTCTGGCCTGGAGAATTCCATGGACTATAGTCCATGGGGTCACAGAAAGTCGGACACAACCGAGTGACTTTCACTTTCACTTTCCTCCTGGGTACTTACTAATTATTAGCCTTTGCACCTTAGTGATTCCTTTAAACAAACCTCCATACTGGTTCTAAACATCAGTTTCAGTGGTTACCTGAAAATGCTTCTAAATTATTACTCTTCCAACCTCACTCACTGCACTATTTCATATGGCCTAGCTCAGTTATGGTAGCTAACTATAAAAGGTGACAATTATCTTCAAGCCAAGTGAAAATTTTTAATTTTAAAAGCACATATGAAAGAACAAGTCAAAAAATGATGATACTGGCCAGTTACCAATTTTTGAGCTTGGTGCTGTGCCAAGCAGTTTTACAAGCATTATCTAGTTTGCTCCTCACAGAAACCTTTGATGAGTGAGTTTCATTTATTTTTACTTTCTAACTTGATTAAGTAAATAACTTAAGATTACATAGCTTTCAAGAAAGGAACCTGAATGTGTATTAGGACCAGTCAAGGCTAGAAATGAGGAATCATTTTTCTCTAGCCTAGTAAAATTCATCTCAGTTTTGGTAACTTTGAACTCTAAAATCCAGTCTGAAACATCTGAATGGTCTCTTTATAGCTGACAACCTGCTGTTTTTACAGTCCTAGTAGTAAGCTGACTCCAGATGTCTATTATAACCAAAATATCTGTACCTTGCATAGCTAGAAGATAAAATACTTTACAAAAGAAGCGGAGGTGCCTTCAAAGAAATAAATTTTTAGTCACTCCAATTCAGAATGTAATACTTGGTCTTCAAATGAAACGGAGCTTACTTTGATCTGGCCAATCAACAATCAGGATTTTCACAAGGAACATGAACACAGTCAGTAAATTTAAGATCCAGCCAGTAAATTTTAAGATTTTATCTTTATCCAAAAGAAAAAAACCTTCTGAATTAACCATTGATATCTTAACCAAATAAAAAACTTCTAGAAAACTATGTGAATCAAATAAGTGTCAACAAGCAGACTACCCAACAGCTTTCAGTTTCTGTAATCAAGTTTGAACATGCCAGCTTATCCCTAAATAAATGATTCCCAAATAGAAAGATTTCTGCATCTCATCCACGTTCCTTGCACAAGGAGTTTACAGGTAGAATTCAACTGCTGAAGAGAGAGGTTAAGATCTGAAGCATTAAAAGATAACCGGGACTTTTCCAACATCAGACTATTTTGTATTAAGGCAAGTACCAATTTTAAATAAACTTAATATGCTTAAAATAAAAAATTAAAAAAAAAAACATACCAAGCAGCTTTCTGAGCTAAGGAAAACAATGTTCATAAAATGCTAGCAAATAAATGCAACCAAAGTTCAGTCCTTTGTATTCCAAGGGCATCTCTTTATAAACTTTAAATATCTGTGTTCTAAGGTAACTTGTGCTCACACCAAATTTCTCTAACATAGTCCTGATCTTTCTCTTCTATTCTGCTTCAAGTGATACAGTAAATTTAAGAATTTCTTACCAGTTCCGTATCAGACTAGCAAACTCAAACATCAACAGACTAATACTTGCTTTTTGGTGCCTGATCTTTCTCTTATTAATCCTGTTCACTGGGTTATATTATACCAATTTCCTAAAGCAGGAAACATTCTATGTTCAACACCTAACAGTAATATTAATCAGTACCTTCTGAAAATCAGCAGAGGTTATTTCTGACCCTGTTCACTTTTCCCTACCACCTCTTGGCACAAGATCGCAGACACAAAGCCATGGCTGCAAGGCAAGAACATGACGGATTTAAAGTGATTCGTGAGTGATTACCACTTCTCATTTCACTGGCATTCTGAATGCTGTCAGAATATTAAAAGGTTGAGAAACTGAAGGAAAGCATCTTCTATAAGAACATATATATACCTACCTCCTGAACTAAAGAACACATTCTAGAAATTTTGTTTTTGTTGAAAACAGACATTTGGTAGATTCAATAATTAGTAAGTTGGTCTTTGTATAAACAATAGTTCTGTTGACCATCTTGTGACGTACCTTCACTCAACATAATAAAGGTGGCTGATAAAAGATCACTACATAGAAATGTACCATCGGCCAGTAAGCAACCAAAGTAGTTTCTCAAATACTACCAACACCAGAAGTTACTTAATGTAGCAAATTACACATTCAATATTGATTTGTTAATAACATAAAGCCTCTTACGTTAAACATTCAGAATTGTAGGAAAGATTAAAAAGTATAGAGATTCATCAGAATTTCCCACTAGTCCTCAGTGCTATGAAGTTCTTGAACCCAAAATAATACTATTAATATTTGAATGGCAATATTATCTCTATTCACACAACATTTAATGTAGGTAATAAAACTAAAAGGTTTTTTGGTTTTTTAGACAAAGGTAAACATTTCAAAATATTCAAGCCTTCTGTAAACAGATGTGCAGCTTGCTGAGTTAGATTACAGAGTGGAAATGACACTTGAGAAAGAAGTCTCTTCTCGGTCTTCTCTCATGCTGGAAACAACTTTTTTTTTCTTTACAGGATAAAAAAGGGAAAGGAGCTCCTTTTCCGATTTTAAACAGGAATGATACTTGGGTTTTAGCTCTATGTAATTTCTAGGCTCCACCTGGTACCATTCACAAGAGATAAAATTTTAAGCAGAAGGCCATGCTTTCCAATAATGAGCAATCTGGCAAGAACCTAAAAACTTGACAGACTTAAAGGCTGCCTGCCAGAGCGCTCTGCATTGCCATATTCTTGCTCTGCAATCCTGACTTAAAAAAACAACAATTCAAGTTCAGTAGTCAGGCAACAAGCTCCAAAGCTTCATAGAGTCCATCAGTTTTGTCCACCCAGGAGTCAAAGTCAGATTAGAGAAAAATCGAAACATTAGAGAACATGAAGGGAGAAAGTAAAAAGAGGAAGGAAAAGAAAATAGGGAGGAAAAGAGAAAGGATAAAAAAAAAAACCCAACAACAATAAAACATGATACAGAACAGATGTGCTCCAGGGGAACAGACAAATATTTGAAATTGCCTCTATCAGTCTTCAAGACACAAAGACAGAAAAACAAATCAGCTATAAAACAAAGATAAGTGTTGTGAACATTGCTGAGCCTTGTGTTTACAACATGCGTTATGGAATCATAGATGTGAACGAGGTTTTTAAGACGTTCAACTAGCATGTAATCAGAACACACCATATTAAAAAAGCAATAAAAATTAAGAAAACAAGAGAAAGGGGCTCATGCTGTATAGCCCATGAATCTCATGGCTTTATCATGAAAGTTTATTTTTTTTTTAATCCTAGTACAATCAGCTACCAGTTACATACAGTAAAAAACAAAAACAGCCACAAAGCAATGATGATAGAGATAGTCTGTGACAACTGTACAGTGGAGGAAACACTGTCTGTCGGAGTCCTCCAGCAGATCTCCACCAGGCTTCAGCAGTTACGCTATCACTCCCTCCCTCCCCAAAGTAGTTAAAAAGAAAAATTAATGTCTTGCTCAAGTAGAGCAAGACTCTAATACCTCTTGGGGACACTGGAGAACTTTAAAAAACTAAAGCAGTAGAAACAAAACAAAAACTGAAACGTGGAAGCAAGGGGACACACAACGAAGCTCCATGAGGTCGTGGCTTCAGATCACCTCAACGCGAACCACCTGCAAAGAAAAGAAAAGGCTGTCACGGCAGGAAGGAACAGACAGAAAATTCAGCAGACCTCAGTCTCTCATCATGCCACTCCTTCCCAAATCTACAGAATTCAAGCTTATCTTAAGTCTTGTATTTTTATAAGTAAGCCAGGTTGCAGAAAATTGCTTCCTTTTCTAACACCCTGTACTATAAATGCTGGCAACTGGCACATACTTACTCTTGGAACCAGAAAATAATATAAGAAGAGAAGCATTTTTAGCAAAGCATGCTGTCTTCTTTATCTCAAACTCTTCAAAACAACACACAGTAGGCTATTTATATGACCGTGTACCCTTACCTTAGAGGAGTAATGACTCCATTCAAAAACTAAGTTTCATATATATTTGGTTCGATTGAGGGCTTTTTCAGCCAGGTGACCACTTTCATCTGTGATCTTCTCCCAGTCAGTCTGTCCGACCACAAAACCTATGGCCCTTTTCCTATCTGCATCCTTCTTTTCTTCCAGGTCTGCCCATCTCACCTAAAAAGAAAACAGTGTTAGGCTGGGCTTTAGGAAAAAATAAATATGCAAAGAGTCTCTTAGCTTTCTGAATAGTTTAATGGGTAGGATAACTAATCTGAGGCCAGGGGTTTAAAAAATTAGAAGTTAACTGGAGAACTGAAGACAGTCATACATCTTAAGTTACAGAAAGAAAACTTTAGTCAATCACAGTCCTAGCCACACCAGCTACTGAACAGGTCAGCCCTGTCCCCTCTACCTCCTATCACCCTTTTTCCGTTCACAAGCCTCATTTTTTACCTGAAGTAAAATATAATGCACTAACTTCTGCCTAGTCTCCCTACCTTCATTCTCACTTCCTCTGGTCCACTCTGCCACAGCTTTAAATCCTTGCCCAACCTAGAGAATAAAATCCAAGCGCACAGGCCCCTCTGGATCTGGCCCTGTCCTCCTGCAGCATCTCTGGGCAGTACCCATGACACTTTACAGATGTGTGCTCAGTCGCTAGCTGTGTCTGACTCTTTGCAAACCCATGGACTGTAGCTCACCAGTTACAAAAGTACTTTCAGCTCTCAGAGCACACTGGGCCATTCCCATCTCTGTAAACCTACATATACTAGACTCTCTTCCTGAAATGTCTTTGCTCTAACCTGATCCACCTAGCATGAATCTAGTCATCAAACCCTGCTTTATCCCTCTTGTCCTTTGCCAATCAAATAATCATTGCTTTCCTGGAGTTACTTCCAGATTTGACATGTCTAGTTCTGAACTTTCACATTATATTGCAATTATCCACTGACAGATCTCCCTTCCCTAACAGACCATAAACATCCTAGATCAAAGACTGAGTCTCATCTCCACATAATAAAAGTTTTCGAAATTTACTCTTAGAAAACAGAGAGCTGATATCATTACTTTTACTGATGAGATAAAGAGACCAAGAGATAGACTCAGTTGATATCATTTATGGCAAGATTATCCCTACAAATATATGAATCAGGGATATTTTCTATTGGTATTCTGATATTTTTAAAATATGGATTTGTATGTACTAAAGCAATACTTTTAAAAATATAAGCAGATTTAACCTGTAAAAGATAAAATACTTATAACTGTGCTTTGCACTTGCCTAGTACCAAAGTCTGCAGAGATGGTATTTTAAATATGGCTTGTGGTTTGTTGTGACTGTGATCTATAACAAGGAGAGGGAACCACAGCATGTTCATCCACGCTGTACCTGGAAATGTGCAACTGCTCTGAGAGGTAAAACGACCCTCCCTATTACTGTCTATAGGAATGGTAATCAAAGGCCTGGCTTCTTTTTATTTCTTCCCCTGATAATTGCTCTTATCAACCACTGGCTAAAGACAATACACACAGTTAACAGCTGTGGGTGAAAACTGATAATACCGGACTCTTTTTAGGGTAGATTTATTTGTGGGCAGAAAACCTATGGCTCAATTTCCTTCATGGGGCTTAATAAAAAACCTAATAAATAATGTGGGTTTCTGAATACCAAGATCTCTGGGCTTTCTGCTCATTAATGCTGATGTATTTATTCTGACAAATTTATGTACCCTCTCTTCAGTTCTCCTTGGGATCAAGGGTACACATTTTAGCAAAAGATGACTATGGTTAACGGGGATGAAGAATGGATGGATGGACAGACAGATGAACTGTGGCCATTGAACAAAGAAACAGACTGAAAACAGTCCACAGGACATCCTCAGCACAGAATTAAATACACTAATCAATCTTGCCCTGCGTAAACTAAGTTGTTTTAAATGTGAAGTTAAAATTCTAAGTCTTTAAAACTCAGATAAAATAAAGAATATGGAATTAGAAAGAAAAGTAGTTATATTTTAAAAAAGCAATATGTTTCAGCACAAATGCCCAAAATTTTAAAGCTGAAATGAAAGTATTATGAGGCCGCAGTTGCACAGACCTGACACACAGACATACAATTCTGTAAAAGGAATGAATGATTACAAAAAAAAAGTAAGCAGCAGAATAATGACTTGCAACTAAGAATGGCTTTGTAAATGTCAAGCCTCCTAACCTTCCTAGAGAGGTACTTTTATTGAGATTTACAATCTCAATTTTTTGCCATTTACCTTAGCTATTAAGAAAAAAAAAAAAAAACAAGGTATAGTAAAGAACACTCTTGACCAATACTCAGAAGTTTACCTGTGTACATTTTATCCACTGTCACCAAAAATATCTCTAAAACATTTGAGTTCTCAAACAAAACTCGGGAAATGTTCACTTTTCTACTCTTATCAAAGAAACACAAATTAAAGTCATTTTATACAAAACTAAGCATGTGGAAAAAAACTTTTTAAATTATATTTTAAATCCTAGCCATTTTGGTAAAACTCTAGTATGATCAATTCTACAGAGCTACCTTTGTGTTTCAGTGTAAATCCCAGGAATCTACCCAATATTTATAAAAAGCTGTATTCTAGAAATCAAGCGACTCCAGGAAAGGAATGAGTAATGAGTCCTGCATTCCACGCTACCTGCAGGATTTCCTTGTGCTCAGAAGTTGATTTTGGAAAATGGTTTGAATGTTAAAAACAATTTGAAATGAGGAAGGCAGGCAGGGAGGGGAGTGAAAAGGGGAGCCACTTAATGAACTAGGCTGTGTACAGCTCACATTTTTGTCCACTCAGCTTACAGAGTAAATTATATGGGGTTACACACTCCCTACTGAAGAGAGTAATAGTTACCTAACTAAAAATGAACTAGAGAAAAATATTTCTCACTTGAGATTATTCACTGTTACACCAAATTATTATTCCCAAGAGCGAGCTACGTCTGCTTCTGTTGCCCCAACCTTAAAACTGGAATAAGGGGTATCAGGACACGTAGTCCCTGGGTGGAGCTGGACCACCCAGATACAGAAGGCCACTCACTGATTAGGCCTCAAGACACACAAACAAGGGCAGGCCCAGGGCCTGTCTGCACTGTCTGAAACCTGGAGTCCCCTGTAATGGTATCCACTGTAATGAAGTGGCATTTTTCATTCTCTTACAATAAACATCCTTTTACTATTAAAGTACTGAGGGGATTCATAAAAAAAGAAATGATGTGTAAAGATAAAGAAATGATAAACAACTTCATTCTTACTTGGCGAAATGCAAAATGAGATACCATTTTTCACCTATCAGATTGTCAAAAGTTAAAAAGTTCAGTAATAGCACTGCTGGTGCAAGTGTGGAAAACACAGGCATTTACTTACATGTGGGTGTAAAAACAGGTGCAACCTTTTTGGGACACAATCTCATAACAGCCGTCAGAATGATACATCATATTCTATGAGTTTGCAGCTTTAAGGCTAAAAATACACCCTAGAGATACACTGTCAAAAGGTTGCCAAGACAAACGCATCCAACTTACACTACAGTATTACATTAGCAATAAAATGAAAACAGAATAAGCATCCACTGATAAGGAAATGGATAAATAACTGATTATTCAACCAATGATGGTACACTAGGCAGCCATTTAAAAAGAAGGGTAGGGAATCCCCCGGCGGTCCAGCAGTTAGGACTCAGTGCTTTCACTGCCAAGGGCCCAGGTTTCAATCCCTGGTCAGGAAACTGCTGTGTGGTGCAGCCAAAAATAAAATAAAAAGAGTGGTAGGTCTGTATATACTTAAAAGAAAGATCAAGACAGACTAGCTGGAAAAGCTTTATGTGGATCATGTACAATATTATACCTCTTTACTGTGTTTTAAAGGATGCATACAAATATACATTTATTGAATTTGCCATCTGTGTGGAAGACCTATTCAACATCTTGGCTTCATTATTTTGCTCTCTATCATAGCTAAGCTTCTTCAGAAACTTATCTACATTTGCTGTTCTGCACTTCCTCATTTCCTATTCTTCAAATCAGCTCGATATTGGCTTCTCTCCTCAACTCTCTTAAGAAAGCTTGACTTTTTTTTTTGATCACACATCAACAATCACCATGCTACCAAATTCAATGGTGAGTTCTCTCTTCTCAGTTTACTTGTCTTCTCTGTATCATTTAACAATGGACTATTCTTTCCTTCTTAAAACAGTTACCTCTATCTGTACTTCTAAATTTTGCAGTCCTGAGTCCTATTACCACTTCTCACTTCACTGGTACCTCACTGAACTTCTGAGTTTTCACTCTCAAACTTAAGTGTCCCCTACTTTACGCTAACTCAGTAAATGGCACCACATACCTGGAATAATTATGGCCAGAATCCTGAAAAGTCACCTTTGATCCCAACCATCCTGGACCCTCTACATCTGATCCATTAAGAAGTCCCACAGATTCTCTCCAACACTCTACTTCACACCCAACTCTCTTGCTCCATGACAACATGGCACAGGCAGTCATTCCAAACTCCTTTAAGGCTGATAACGTGCTAACCATGTGAGGCTCTGTCCCCCATTATTTAAATTATTTGTACAGTTTGATCGGATAGTTTGTAAGGCTTCTTTTATAAATGTGTCATACGGTGCAGTATAAACCGAACTACTCTAAAAAGTAGCACCCGTATTTGTCTGACTTTAACTTTCTAAAGCCAGACGTCTGAACAGGCCTGAACTGTTGGTGGCCCCTCAAGGTCTCTCACCCTCTTCTTCCCGGGCTCAGAAGCACGAGTGTCGTAATCATCAGGGAGCTGCAGATAGTCCTCCATCCTGCTGGCAATAGCCTCCCAGTCACGTTTCCTTTTTGTGCCAGTTCTCAAGCCATCCAGCTTGTCTGAGGGACAAACACAGAGCCGCAGCATTAAGGGGGAGTGTGAGCTTGCACACGACACACACACAAGGGGAGAGAAGGCTGGAGCGCCGTCGGCGGGCACGTCCGCATTCCTGAGAGCAGCACCGCTTGCAGATCCAAGCTCTCCTCTTGGCTGAGATAATACCAAGTTCTGTGCAATTTCCACTCTTTATCTGGTGTTCATACCGGCAGTCTTTACATTACTATGCTGGTTTAAGTAACAAATATGGGCAGAGCAAGAGAAGACACTTGTTTCCTGGCCTCTCTTATCCTCCCCACCCACCTAAAATCACACTTCAGCTCTCATGTTCTGACAAAACGCAACGCTGAGTTTTTCCAAAAGCAATTTCTTCCATTCTTTTTCGTTCTTGTTTCTTTAACACAACATTAACACCACCCATTCAATCTGCAATCACGTGTGTTATCGTGTCATATGAAAAACAGGTAGTACAAGAACTTAATGAGCCAAGCTAATGTTTGGGAAAGTTTTAGATGAACAGTTTCTTGGGATTTTGACCACTGTGACAGGATTTGCCATAAGTTAATGTTTACGGGTAAGTCAATCATACAAATCACCACTTTCTTTGGTTATACTTTAAAGTGCTGCTGACTATTCTGAGGTTGAGGGCTAGTCAGCCAAAGTAGCTGGATCTGAATTTTTCTTTCTGAATCCTCAATCTGAGAGGCTTTCCAAAGGTCCCAAACTTAAATCAATTAAATTAACAGGGATTGCTGATTCAGAAATTATGAGATATGAGTTTAGGTGTCTTCAAGAACACATGATGGAAATGTGTATGGTCTTTTTTATTGGTTGTTAGTTGTGATCTTGAATTCTACATGTGAAATATTATGAGTTATATATATATATATATATATATATATATACACACACATATATATGTACATATATATATATAAACTACACTGAAGCACTAAACTTTTGGATCATCTACAGTTATAAAAATACACTATTATTAAGTAGGTCAATAAAAGAAAAGCTACACACTTCAGAAACATACAATAACCACACTCAATTTAACTCCATAATGGTGAAGAGTGTATATAATAGAAACTTTTTAGGCATCAAGGCAGACAGAACCTTAAATAAAAGTACAATGGAAGCAGAAGGCAAGGTGAGTTTACGCTTCAAATGTAAAAGTTACACACACAACTAATTGTGCATACCATACAGATCTCAAAAACCAGTAAGATTTTGTATACTTGTCAAAGCTTTTATTTCCTAAGCCCCACCCCCATAAAAGCAATATTATTGAAAAATCAGCAAGGCAAACTGCAACACTTTACAAAACTCAAGAAATTTTTATCATACCACTTTGGCAAATTTTTAACATGGATGAGTGCAACAGAAACAGTCTTCTAACCTCCTCTGTAAATCACATGCTATACCAAGGGGCTCTAACCTACATGTATAGGACAAGCCATATTACACAAGATCTTACAGGTGACACCTTGATTGCACAGGGACATAGAATATGGTATTAGAAAAACCAACGAAGCCCCACAAACAGTAAAACTGTTCTCAGTTGAATAGTATAAAGTATCAGCCGCTTCAACACTTATTGAACAAACATCAAAGGATTTCCAAACTTAATAAGAGCAACTTTGACATTAACATACTTCAAAGGAAAATTTCATATTTCAATTCCAAGAACAGAACATGGTCAGGCAGCAATTACAGAAGGACAATGTGAAAACTACAAGAACTCTTCCTCATATGCTGGGTGTATGACAGGAGTTACACACCAGGAGTTCCTGGTTCCATATTTGCAATATGGAAGTTCAGAAGAGCATGTATTTCTAGTCTGAACACCCTTGTTTGTAATGTTTAATTTGAAATTTTATTGTGCACAACAAGTTTAAAGTTTCCTTCTTGGAGCTGAAGAAAGGTTCATACCTCCTCCACATGGCATCCTGGAAACTCAAACACACAGATGTATGGCATAAGGTGAAGGAAGAGGAATCTGGGGCATTTGTTAGTTACAGAAGACGACTGGTATCCAATACACTCATACTAATGATTTTCAGAGGTTTGAATTTCAAAAGATGAAGTTTTAAGATGAAGATGAAAGTTTAAATATCCAACTCGGCAGGTCGCAGAATTTTACCGTATCTTCAAAACAGTATATTATATATAGCACAACAGAAAAAGAATTTTAGATACGTCTATACGTTTTCTAAACATAAATGATATTTCTGAAAATTTGCTCATGGTGAACACACAAGGGTTACATGCCTATACAAAATAATAATCACATTCCAACTGGAAAGAGATGAAACTGCCTGACATGTAGAAGGCCAGTCCACAGTAACTCAGTAACGGAGACAAATGACAGTGAGATGAGGAAAGCAAAAGTAAGCTGCATGAAGAAACCCAAATTAGGATGACAACAGTCTCAAGTATGCTTTTGGTTTTTCACTGTTTGAGAAACCAAAATTATGTCAGTGGAATTTAAGCAGCTTGAATGCTGAATCCTAGCATTTGATGTGGCATATAACACCCACCCTTGCCTTAGGTGCTTGTGTCCCAGCTGGAAAAGAAAGTGCTACTGAGAGTGGGTCACAGTCAGTCTTCAACAGCTCCATGACAGCCAAGCCAGATGCAACTCAGGCTAGTTCTGATTTTTCCTAAAATCACACTGCTTCTGCTTTAACACACACACACACACACACACACACACACACACACACACACACACACGCTGAACTGAATACTATACTTAATGAACACAGATCAAGACTCAACAATAAGATTTAACAGCTGCTTGAAAGATTACAAGTAAGTGAATATTTTCTCATTGGCCAATTCATTTCTTCTTTTTTTTTTTGACCAATTCATTTCTCCGTTATAGATTCAACTTGTCTAGCTCAATACATGATACTACGAAAGCTCAACATGTTTCCATCCAGCATAATCATGTTACCAAGAGATATTTAAGAAATGTTGGTAAAGTACTCAGAAAAATAAAGTTGTACCTGGTAGTCAAATCTATTGAATTTGTTACGGTAAGGAAGGTGACATAAAAGAACAGAGCTTCGTGCTTTAGGCTCTTCTTATCAATTGGCTCCATGGACCAATATCAAAGAAGTACTTTCAGGAAGGCTCACACTCCTTCCTCGACAGATGATTTAACTCTCAAGATAACAAAGTGGTGCAAGAGGCGAGTCATTATATGGAATATCACTGTCACAAACAAAAACCCAGCTGCAAACATTTAAGAACTTATTTCCTAGATTCATTACTAGATCTTCAGTGCCTTTAACTGAAATGGTTTATTTAACAACTCTATTTCTGGAATTGTCTTTAAAATGGTCTGCATCTGTGGGACTTCTCTGGCAGTCCAATGATTGAGACTTGGCCTCCCAACACAGGCAGTGCAGATCTGATCCCTGGTCAGGGGGCTAAGATCCCACACGCTTCACAGCCAAAAAAAAAAAAAAAAAAAACCAAAAAAACCTAAAATGGAGTAATTTGTATTAAATGTATTTTCTGAGAAGCAAATAGCAGACAGGCCAGAATTTTTTTCTGGAAAGTGATATCAAGATTAATATCATATTATCGTGTGTCATATGGATAATCCATTAAGGTCATATGGATAATCATCATAACTAAATTACATTTTCCTTTCTCTTTAGATATTAGAAAGGAAAATAAGAGTGTGGACCAGCTCAAGTTAAAATAAGCATTATCCTAGATAATATATTACAAAGGCCTCTTAAAGATTATATGCTTAGCTAGAACACTGTATAATTCCCGTATCTCTTTAATTACCATTTCTCTTTGCCCCAAAAGATAATCACTACTTAGAGAAGCAGGAAAGAGGAAAATGATCTTACAGTCTTATAGGTTATTCTATAAGTACAGAACTTCAGATTTAAACTAATGTTAAAACAAACATATCTAAAGCATTATTATTTAAAACTAATTTGTGATTATTATTTTCCTACATACTTAATTGCATTTAAGTACTTTCGAATGCTTCAAAATTTCAAGGAAGGAGATAGTTGGTTATTATTAAAATGGATTTCCCACAGAGGAAAGACGAATGGAAGAATATGTCAATAACCACATAAAATTTTCACATGCCGTACACTAGAAAAAAATTCTAGACTTTGCAATAAAGCATCTATCCCAACAATACGGTAATACTACTGTTTACAGAATTATCTTTTAACATTAGATCTGGTCAACATCAATGGCTCACATGATCAACTGGGCAAAATAAAAGGCACAGTCTGTGCAACTGTGTATAAAATGCATCCCTCTGATGTCAGAAACACAGTCAGTATATCCCAAAAAGTGAAGCAGCTAAATTATTCAAATTGTTCTATAAATTTAAGGTATGTTTCTATGGTTACTTCAGCTCTGGGGGTTACAGCATAATTACAGAAGAGAAATGCAGAGACCAACAGTCATACTTCATACAGTAGCATGGTCCATCTTTTAAAAAAATCTTATATCACCAGCTTAAATTATTTACTAATACATATTAATCAACATATTAAATGGTTCTCTTTAGGTGAGATTAAAAAAAGTTCTGTAATATTACCATGAAATACTGGTGGAAAATCCACTAGATATATGTGATTTTCTACTTGACAAAGAACCCCACGTTAAGCAACTCCAATTTTTTATTTAAACAATAATTTTCACCAGTTTACCTTGCAACCTTCACTAAAGACCAGCTGGAGGAAAATTTAAATAGAATCTTACACACCAGGCTCCTCAAAAACCTAAATTATATATCTACCTCCCCCACTTATAAACTTTTATTAAACAAAGAAAATAACTGCTTTTAATTAATTTTTAAACTTCAATTATTTATTATTTTTACTACCACTATTATTCAAAATATTCATAATCAAGTTCAATTTTGAACTTCAGTTAAATATTCTTTTATAAAGGTAGAAATCTCATCTACACCAACATTTCTGATTAATATAAATGAATGGATTTTAGAAGTGACAATATTTTATTACTAAATTTATCACATATTTGCATTTACTCTATCACAAGATATAAATGAAAGTCAGCAAAACAGACTGAGGATGTAGTAAGGTAGGCCTAAAATCTTTGTTTAAGCAGAGATTTGGGGGAATTTGTTCTTCTTACAGCAGAAAGATCTATGACCATTACCATCAGGTATCACATATAAAAAGAGGAAAAAGGAAATACCCACCTAGCTTTGCCTCAGATGTGTCCATCTCCCATTTGCTTTTCGGAATGTAACCCTAAATCGTACACAGAGAGAAGCTCGAAGGGTTAGAAAGAGACACATACATGCATATCACTTTTGAATTGGAAAAGCATTACAACTGGGAATGGATTCAGTTTCCACTCACTATTCATAAATATATCCTTAGGGAAAACAGTCTCATTATCTCTGAAGAAACTGAATTACCAAATTCACAAACTTCACTACCCAGATTTTAGGACAGGCACTTTAGAATAGTATCATGAAGGCGCTTTGAGGCAACTACAGTTCGGGACACACAACTGTAGTCTGAAAAACAGCTGTATAGCAAATACAGTAAGAATGCATGGTAGTTACTAAGTTAAATAACATCATTCAGAGTAGCAGAAAACTTATAATACTAGCCAGGTTATTTCTAAATACAATTGCTATTATCAAGTGATAGTAGCCATGAGGTCCAAGGAGTATTCTTCAAGACAGTTACTCTGTATTCCAGTGTAATTTTAGATAGAAGAGAGGAGGAAACTGGGTATCACTGAACACAATTATTAAGTTCAACCTCATTTTAAAATGATTCAATCCATTTACCAGTTAGATCTTAAAAAGACTAATTTTACTGAATCTATTTCAAAGTATTACTTTTTCATCAATTGGAAGCTAGATTATTATTTCTGATGTTTTTTAAAAATTACACTTTTTCTATTATATGAAAAACCAGAAATCTCCACAAGCAATTTATGTCTTATTTAGTAAAATAACTGAGTGGTTTATTTCAAAGTCCTACAAAGATTTGCAAATTTCCCAATGTACCTATTTAACTATGCAGTAAAGCCTTTTAGTTTATTTGCCTAGCAAATGTATGCCTTTTCCATATAATTCACTGATTTATAATTAATTTCCATATAAGTCACTGAAGTAAAACAGGTTTCACTTCATTTGGACTCTGTTCTTCTCTATTCGATCTTTACAGACAGAATTTTAATAATAGGACTTACTATATAGGACAGATTCATCAAAGGTGTCAGCATCTTCTTTTAAGAATTAGTGTATCTTTCTACTACTGGGAATGCTGAGGTTCATAGAACAGACTGACACACAGGTAAAGCTGGAAAGTATGTTGAACAGTTCATGACAATAGCTTCTGTGTAAGAGTTTACTAGAGCATTATCAATCTTCCAGGAAATCAACAGGTTTTATACATTTGCAGTCTTTAAGCCAGACTAATAATTCAACTTCAACTAATCAGGTAGTATTTCAGATTATAAGTTATATTATCTTTTCAAATACATTTTCAAGAACAAACGAAGACAAAGGTTGAAGTGATGGTGCTAAAAGTTTGGTACTGATGGAATCTGTACTGTTATATCTCAAAAATCATCTGAAAACCTTTAGTGTCACTAGAATAATATATTTTAAAATTCTGAGTCATAGCTACAAGGTTCACTGAGGCATTAAAGAAGACAAAATATCATACCAATAATTCCCCCCAAAGGAGCCTCTTGACCAAGAAAAGCATGGATTTCACACAGCTGTAGTAATCAGTACAGAGCAGAAAACAAAGTTGAGTGAAAATTCCATTAAAATGGTCTGAATGACAAGATACTTGCTCTTAACCCTTTTATTAAAATTTTCCAAGAATCTTTTACTCCTGGAATAGAACCCAAGAATAGGAGATCTGGATTCTGCATTTTGAAAAAAGGTTAAGAGAAGTTTTATAACATAAAGGTTAAGCAGAATGAATACGTTAAGCTCTCCCTGCTGGAACTACCCTTTTCTTCCTTAAAACTTAAAATCATTTTCTCACTCTATGAAACATTAGGTTACTTGGAAATAAAAGAGATAATTCAGCAGGGTAGAGTTCTAAAGTTTCAGTGCCATGTTTCTGGTGAAAAAATACTGTATTACAGTGTGTTTCACTTTAAAAAATAATAGTACATTCAATTAAAAGTTCCAAGTTTTGACCTACACCTAAGCAAGTTAGATGTTGTGAACCATATCCTGAACTGAAATCTCTACAAAGGAAGACAGAGTTTCAGAGAGCTGACATTATAGATTTCTCATATGATGACTTTCTAGTATGCACGCTGCAAGTAACTAAATTTGTCATTAGCCATATTCCAGGACAGCGTGGACCTTTAAGTGAATTTTCTACCTACACCTTAGGTCATGTATGTTAAGATACAATCTAATTAAATAAAAAGACTTTGTTTAAAGGAAAAAAAAAACATACTGAGACTCAAATGCCATTAACTTTAAAGCTTATTTTTTAATCCACATACGAAATCTAGGAATGTAGAGGTTGACACCATCTCTATGCAAACACACAGTTTCTATCCAGAGTCCTCTATAACACACATGGGTTAATGAAACCACTTCTTAGCATGTATTCTCTAGGGGGAAGAATCAGGGTTCTCACTTTGTACATTTTCAGAAGAATATGAAAAGCAACTTTAGCAAGGGCTGAAGTATTAAATAAAACAAATAATATTTTGAATTAAAAAAGCAACACTATTTCAAGGCATTGCTAATCTCTGTACCGCATTAGCAAACACTGAAAATAACATAAGTCTGGAAGTCGCATACTCTTGAATGACAGGGTAAGGCAGACATCACAACAGAGGTGTGATCAAAAGCATTTACAGTAGGTACACGGGAATTCTGAATTCACACTTACGTAAGCCTTTAATTAGCCTAAGCAAAATGCATTGCCTACACAGTCAAATCATTTTCTCCATCACTTAATAGGATAAAATGTGGAAGAACAAATCCAGGAGTCAGTGGCAACCCTCTGCCTCCTCATTCAATAAGTTCTTCTGCCTCAATTTACAGAAACTCAGTTATGAGCTCTTATAGCAAAGAAGAGACAATTATGCGTAAGTTGGATAGGCTGTTCCATGTATTTGCTGGAATGTAAAAATGCTCTTTCATATGTAATTGATTTTCTTAAAAAGTATATTCCCCTAGAGCCACCCACAAATAGTTGAGTGAATACAAGGGTACGTTTCTTAGCATTCTTAAAATTTTCTTGTTAACAACACAGTAGAGGGTTCTTTTCCTTTGGTCGGGGTAAAAATAAAAAGTATCCAAAAGTCTCCGTGAAGATGATTCTGGAAACTTTTACCATTAAGGTGCATATCAACAATAGTAATCTGACCACAGAGATGAATTTAAACCCTTAAGAATTTTAATAAAGAGACACTTTGTTCAAAGTGGTTGTTCTGTCTCCTACCAGTTCGCTTTCCTCTTCCTCTGCATCTTTCTTTTCATCCTTCTGTTCTTCAATATTTGCATCAAAATCTTCCATCTCCACCTACAGCACCACAATAATCACACATAAAGTAGACTGAGTTAACATTCAGGAAAATGTTGAGCCCCTCACTGAGATCTGAAATGAGCACAACTGCCCAGAGCAAGATGCACAGACTCACAGTTACATACTAAGACATTTCTAATACCCTAAACTTTGAAACAGAACTGACAGACAACATGATATTCCTGCCTTTCATTTTCCTGGGATATCTATCTATCTTAATAATTCCCTGTGAAGTTGAATATAATGATCTAAGTTGATGGTTATCTGTTTTGAATGACTATAGATTACTAGATTTCTTTTGAAAACCTTTAGCAAGTTTTTTTTCAATCACATAAAACATGTATAATTCAAACCTCAAAATGTAAGAAAGGGTATAGTAAAAAGTCATGATGAGAGCTTGGCCCAGAATAGTAGTAATGCAAGTAGAGAGTAGATAGACTACAGAAGTATTTATAAGATAAAACTGACAAAAGTTTAGTCTGTATAGACTGACTACATGGTGGAAGGATAGAGTCAAACAGCGATATAAAGGGAGTCAAAAATAATGGAGAGTAAAAATGTCAGGGTTTCAGCAACTAAGTGATTGATGGGTCTAGCTACTAAAAAAGAGATTATCAGAAAAGGAACAGGTCTGGATGAATTACACATTGAATAGATTGAGTTTGACGTATTTTAAGGTAATAGTAATTCTGGTACAAATTTTGGTACAAAATTTGGAAAATAATAGTAGAATTGTAAAAATCACCCACAACCTCTCCACTCAGATATAATTACTGTTAAGATACTGATAAAATTCATCCAAGCTTTACAATATTAAGGGCATATAAGTGGCAATTCAAGGTAACAGAAAGACTATCTATACACAATGTGCAGACTGAAAGCTCTCAAGAATTTCAACATTTAAGGACTGGATAGCAAGAGAAGCCAGGAAAGGAGACTGAAAAGGAGACTTGCATCATGACCTGAGATGCAAGAAGAAAATCAGGAGAGGGCAGACTCACAGAAGTGGAGAAAACATGTTTTCAAGAAGGTGGACGTAGTCGCATATGGCTGCAAAATTACAACAGGAGAAGTGAGCATTGTTCACTGTCGTGGACTCTCAGGTGAGAGAGTCTCCAGAGAATGGCTGGGACAGGAGTCAGAAGGGAATGGGCTGACAAGTGGCATGAGAGGCAAAACACATAAAGATACAGTGGGGACACTGAGCATCGATAGCTCTCATCCACAGGAAGAAGTCAAGTAAAGCAGAGGTACACAGCTGATTAAAAGAGAAAGATCTCTCCTTTTCCATGATGAAGGTTTATTTCTACCAAACAAATAACAGATTTAGATAAGAATTATCAATCTATGAAAATCTGTCAGGGAACAGGATATTAACAGTTTCAAACTATCTCCCTACAGATCACTTATTACAAAGAGAAAAATGTAGAAAACTTCGAAGATATCACCAAAACCAAGTGATCAACATTTTAATCAACAATAACAAAATAAGTTGACATCATATGACTCCTGATATGATGCATCACGTCACTTATGCAGCATTCCTGCTAACGTTTAACCTAAAGCTAATCATGACAAACCCACAATGAGGGGAGCTAACAAAACAGTTAACTGACCAATATGCTTCAAGATTTCTTTGTCTTTCATGACTGTGACATAGTTGAGCAACTATTTTTTAAAGGATTGGGTCCTGGATTTTAAGAAACTGCTATACAACACATTACAGAAACAACTGGCAAAATATGAATATGGTCTGTACATGAAAGAATTCAGGAAATTTATATTACCTAATACAGGATCTTATCAAATGTTAAATTTCTTGAATTTGCTAACTGAGATTTCTACTTCTGTAAGAGAATGCCGTTGCTCTTGGGAGGTATCTTCTGAAATATTTAGGGGATAAGGGTTTATGAGGTCTGCATTTTTACTCTCAAATGGTTTCACAGTAATAGGAATAGTACTAACAGTAACAACAAGAAGAAACAGAAGAAATCTAAGAGAAAAATGTAACAAAATATTAACAATCAGTGAATCTCAATGAAAGTCATGCAGGTGTTCTTATACTAACCATGCAGCTTTTCTGTAATTTAAATTTTTTTCAAAGTAAAAACGGTGGAGGAAAAGGTGGCTTCTGCGCTGCTTTTGAGCCAAAGGACACTCACCTCTTCAATAGCGGCATCTTGCAACAAAGAACGAATGTCCAGACGCATCATATGACGAGGTGCAGCTTCCCAGTGATCAGCCATCTAATTGAGAGATTCAGGAGCTCAAGTTATCTCTGGAAGCTACTCAAAGAAAGACCAAGAGACCATGCTATGCCCTCTATGTTTTCTTAAAAAAAAAAAATAATAATAATAATCACCTTATTTATTTCTTTAAGCTTTCGTCCATGAATATTCCTCTTGCCACAAGTCTGGTTATCTGCACTCATTTCAGCCAAATATACCTAAGAAGAAATGAATAATGATTAAGCAAACAAATGCAAGGCTTACTTGATAATACAAAATACTCTGAAGTTCTTTTAAATCTATACCTCAAACCCCTTGGTTTTTGCTGCACTCCAAAACTGGTCAAAATGTCTAACTCTGTCATTGATGGCGTCCAGGATGATGAAAGGGAAAAAGCCATCATCCAGAGTCTTTTTGAAAGTTTTGAACATGCTGGTACGGTAGGTTTCCTCCATCTCAGCTTCATATTCATATTCCATTACCTAAGATTCCCCACAAAAGAGATACACAGTTAGCAAAAGCAAGAATCACCTTAAATCTCTTCCCTGGTTAGCATTTGGATAAAGACAACTTTCCTTCTTTCTCATGTGTAGTCTTTTCCTTCACACCTGAGTACTAAAGTTTGTGTTCAAAAAAGTCAATAATTTCTCTCTGAACATGCTTTCAATACTATTTATGAATTAGGATGTAATCTGAGAGGAATATACCATACCTTCTTTTTCACTTTCTTTCCAGAATCTGGATCTTTTTCTTCTTTTTCTACTTCAGTAATGAAGTAATCATCCAGGCTTAGAACTCTGGGTGCAGGTCCTCCAAATTCTACCTCCTTATCCTAAAAATCAGATATTCAAGAAAGTTAAAGAGAATTTATGGAATAAATTAATAAATGTGCACAAAGTTTTTTCTTATGGCTAAATACCATGCAATCTTATGGTTTCAAATCAAGCTGGGGCAAAAGTATCTGCCTAAGCAGATCAAAATGAGACAGCACCTACCAGATGGGCCAACTAGAGCAGAACAAACAGGAAATACCTGTGTCAACATCACGCTGCTTGTTAAGAAGGCAAGTGGCTAACAAAAGCAAGTGATGCTTTCACTTTTCCATACTCACTCGAATAAGTTTTGCAACATGTGTCTTTCCACTGCCTGGTAATCCTCTCATTATAACAACAATCTGAAACACATTTTAAAAAAAAATCACTTAGTTTTTTTTCCACAATGAATTGATCTTAGCGTTAACAATGACCTAATATTCTCCAGGAGAGACCATACCATAGGGCATGAAATAAACCTTGATACATTTGAGAGGACAGGAATAATACAAAGCATACCCCTGACCACAATGGAAAGAAATTTAAAAGTTTGGGAAATGCACAAGCATGTAAAAATGAAACACCATACTCTTAAATAACCAATAGATCAAAGAAGAAATCAAAACAACAATCAAAAAATACTTTGAGATTAATAAAAATGAAGACACAACATAAGAAAACGGAAGAACAAACTAAACGTAAAGCAAGAAGGAAGGAAATAATATTAGAGCAGAGGTTATTAAAATAGAGAACAGAAAATTAAAGAAAAATCAATGGAACCAAAAGGTAGTTCTCTGAAAAGAGCAACAAAATTGAAAAACCTTTAGAGAAACTGAGAAAAAAGAGATAGGATTCAAATTACTAGAATCAGAAAAAAAGAGAGGACATGAGTGCCAACCTTACAAAAATTTTAAAAGGGTTATAAAGGACTACTATGAGCAACTGCATACCAACAAACTAGATAACTCAAGACAAAATGGACAAATTCTTAAGAGACACATAAGCTACTGAAATGATCTCAAGAACAGATAACCTGAACAAACCTATGACAAGTGAAGAGACTTAATTAACAGTCAAAATACTGCCAACAAGAAACATCCAGGCCCAGATGGCTTCCTCACTGAATTCCAACAAACATTTAAAGAAAAATATCAACTCTTCACAAACACTTTCAGAAAAAAAAAAAGAATAGGAAGGAACAATTCCCAACTTATTTTATGAGGCCAGTATTTCAAACCAGCACATAATCTGATACCAAAACCAGACAGACATTACAAGAAAATTAGGTATCTCTTATGAATATGGATATAAAACTTCACAACAAAATATTACCAAATTGAATCCAGCAACATATAAAAAGAATTACACAACATGACCAAGTAGGATTTATCCTAGAGATACCAATTAATATCTAAAATCTGTTAATGTAATAATACATTATATCAATACAATAAAAAGCAAAAAAAATCCCAATGCAGAGAAAGCGTTTAACAAAATCCAACATCCTTTCATGATAAGAACATTTACCAAATTAGAAATGGAAGGGAACCTCCTCAACATGATAAAGGACATCAAATGAAAATGCACAGCTAGCACAGTACTTAATGGTGAAAGACTGAAAATTTTCTTTCTAAGTTCAGGAATAAAACAGGAATGCCCACTCTTACCATATCGATTCAACTCTGAACAACTAGGCAAGAAAAAGAAAAGAGGCATCCAGACTGAAAAGTAAGAAGTAAAATTATCTCCATCTGCAAGATTATATCATCTCACATACAGGAAAACTTCCAAGGAATCCACTAAAAATCTATCAGAACCAACAAATGAGTTCAACAGTGTTGAGCAATATACAATCAATATACAAAAACCAACTGTATTTCAATACAGCTGAGCAAGCCAGGAATGGAATTAAGCCATCCATATCTCTATTTTTTGGTGGCCCTGCCATGTGGCTTGCAGGACCTCAGTTCCCCAACCAGGGACTGAACCTGGGCCACAGCAGTCAAAATCACTGAATCCTAACCACAGGGCACTTGAGCCATCTACATGAATAACATTACACATGAATGGATTTAAGCAATCCAATTAAGAAGCAAAAATTATCAGACTGCTAAAAAACATGATCTAAACTATATGCCATCTATAAGGAACATATCTCAGATTGAAAGACACAAACAGATTTAAATTAAAAGGATGGAAAAAGGTATCAGCAACCACAGGAAAGCTGCAGTAACTATACCAATAACAGATAAAATAGACTTTAAAACAGTGACATACATACATGCATGGAGTCAAACCTCTGATAGAAATCCCAGTATCAGTTTATGTAAATGGAATCTAATTATTTTGCAACACAGGATAAATGTAAAAATGTGTGTGTGTGTATATATATATAGAGAGAGATATCTATATCTATGTACCTATATATATATACAGAGGTCACCAGGAAAGTAAGTCTAAACTAACCAAGTTCTCCTAATTCTTCCTTTTAAGTTCCATATGCCATAAGACCAAATCCTCTTTTCCCTTCTTCAAAGTGCAATTAATTGAGTTCTTAATTATTTTTTATAATGTTCAACACTTAAAAAAATTTTTTAATTAGAGGATAATCAACACTTTCTTTTTGCCAAGCAATTAAGCTCTAATTTCTTAGATTCTAAAGGGTAGGCAGTTCATGAGATTTTACGATGATTTGGAGATGGCAAGAGTCCCTGAATCTGATGTTAATACTATGTCACACATGGCAACAACCTAAATGTTAACTGATGGATGGATGGATAAAGAAGATACATACACACAACGGAGCACTACTCAGCTACGAAAAATGAAATGACGCCATGGATGGACCTAGAGACTATTACTAAGTGAAGTCAGAAAGAGAAAGAAATATCATTATTATATGACTTATGTGTGGCATCTAAAATATGACACAAATGAATTTACCTACAGTAAAGAAACAGACACACATACATAGAGAACAGACCTGTGGTTGCCAAGGTAGGGAATGGGGGAAGATAGCTTGAAGTCTGGGATTAGCAGATGCAAACTATTATATATAGACGAGATAAACAATAAGGTCCTACTGTATAGCACAGAGGACTATGTTCAATATCCTGTGATTAAACCATAATGGAAAAGAATATGAAAATATGTATCTAGACATGTAACTGAATCACTTTGCTATACAGAAGAAATTAACACAACCTTGCATATCAACTATATTCCAATAAAATAAATTTTGAAAAATTAAAAAAAAAAATACCATGTCACAGAAAAGTATAGAAATTCCATTCAGGATACTAAAAAAATCTCTTATCACCTTCTGATTTGCAATAAAACTAGTCAATCACATAGGACTCACTCTCTCAGGTCTGCTCTCTCGGCCAGGTGGTTTCAAAATATCATCCACATTCTTAGATTCGGGTTTCTTCTCAACCCGTGGAGCTGGAGGTGGCTGGTGGCTTATTGAAGGAGCTGGCAGGGGCATTCGCTCCTCTGGGTAACTTCTTCGTTCTCCTAGGATGCCAGCAGTTGAACAAGAAAACTATTTATAAAATTTTAATTCTCTCCACTCCTCCTAATATATATATATGAGAACAAGTCACCAGCTTAGGAAAACTTATTCATATAAATAGGTATGAATTTCTAGTTTATTTAAGTCTAATTTATAACAGTGAAAAACTAAAAGCTATCTAAGTGTTCAAAAATAAAGAGTCTTACATCTTATTCACTTGATGAACTATCATAGAGCCATTAATATAACAGATTTACATACAGAAAAATGTATACAGTATCAATGAGAATAAGCACAATAAAGAAACTGTATGCAGACTTTCTTTACAACTTCATTAATATGTATGTGAAGAGAGAATGAGAGGAAATGTACAAAATTACAATGGCTGTGGTATGGTAGGTAGGTAGGTGGTAGGATTATAAGTGATTTTGTTTCTGTCTTCCAAAATTTCTTTAATAATGTAAAAAAAGCAATTTACATTTTATTTCATCAATTACATGACTCTTTTTGGTGATACTTTTGCCATCTCTAAGAAATCTGTGAGTGTATTTCACTCTGAAAGTTTAAACCCACAGCTACAATCAAAAGCATCTCCTGCAGTTTTCAATTCTCAGCATCTTTATCATTAGTAAGGCACTAATCTACCTCCAAACATGGATGGTCCTTCATAGGCTGGTCGGTCAGACTTGCGATCATAGGAAGGCCTATCAAACCCTCCTCTTCTGGATGAGGAATGGTCTTTTTTGTCTCGATATGACTGAGTCCTAGAAAGTTTAACAGGAAGTGCTTTGGTAAATAAAAAACATATGGCGGTCTCTTATAATGCAACACCACTATATACCCAATTTTCTCTATGGGTAGTTACCATTCATAGTCAATATTTGTATTTTTATTTTGCTTTTCCATTTAGATCTGCCTTGCATACACACATCCACAGAGCTCACAACAGCAAAAATTGTTTGCCTATTAACTAAGGAAAGACTACAGCTTTGTTGACAATACTCTTTCCTTTCTCCATCTCCCATTTAACTCTCTGAAATTCAAGCTTGCAAAACTAAAGAATCAAGCCTCCTGAAAATTGGTACTCTTCCCTCTCCAAATTATACATACACATGCATGAGAAAAATACATCAGTTACTAAATTTCCCTTAACTACACTTACTTTTGCTGAACTTAAGTATATAGTAATTTGCACACCCAGCAAAGATATTTTGGCATACCTATCATCTCTAGGTCGGCGTTCTCTGTCAAATCGATCCCGGTCATAGTCAATAACACCACGATCCCGGTCTCGATCTCTATGTGTCTCCCGATCCCTTTTGAAATCTCGATGATCTGCCATGACATTGCTTTGACGATCAAAATAAGGCTCACGATCTCTCTCTCTATCATAACGATCTCGTTGACCTGCATGCTCTGGAAAAACAATTAAAGTTAAGAACTACATGCCTTTTTTCTGAAATAAAAGCAGAAAAGTACAAATCTAAATTTAGAACTAATATAAATTGTTGCCCTAAATTCAACTTATGAATCCTTTAGCTATACTAAAGAGAGGCCCAGATAATCTTACCAAAAGGAAAATCATATGATAAATAGGTCCAAAAAGGTTGAAAAATACTGATCTCCCTGGGACCTCTACCTGTTTCAAAAGTTGATCTTTCAGGTAGTGGATCTGGACGCAGAGTTATTCTTTCTCCATAGGGTATCTGCTCAACTTTATTAGTGGATATGTCTGGTAAACAAAAACAAGGATAAAAGCACCTTAAGAGTGAACCTTAAGGAAGCCAAAGTTGAAGCTAACAATTCCTCTAGAATCCCAAATACAAGTTTGCCATTTTTACTTACCTCGGCCATGGCCATAATCAACAGTCTGCTGCACTGGTGGTGGTTTGGACATGGGTGGCATACCCATAGGTATTGGGCCAGGAGGAGGGATGGAAGGGTGAACAGGTGGGGGTGGTAACACTGGAGCAGATGGCATTGCTGCAGGTTCAGATTTAAATTCCGAATTCAGTCCCTGCTCATCATTTGTATCCCAGAGGCCATAGAAAGAATCTTCATCCCAGCGTTCTTGTTCCACAGCTGAAGTCTGTGGTTTTATCACTGGAGGAGGAGGTGGTGGAGGAGGAGGGGGTGGCGGTGGCGGTATTGGGATAGGTGGCCTGGTTACAGGAACAGATGATCTTGCTGGTGGAGCAGGCGGTCTTACAATTGAACCTGGTGGCTTACCCATAGGAGGCGGTGGTCTGTAGGACCCTGGAGGCTGGAGAACAGGGTAAATGGCTCAATGAAGGAGCATACCACCATACGTTCACATATCAGTAGAAATCTGGTTCTCACTCCATTCAACTTATTCAAACTTCAAAACTTTCTGTACTTTAAAATACATCATCAGGGAGACACTGTATGCAAATCGCATATCTGATAAAGGAGAATATTTTTATATTGAGAATATAAAAATCTTTTATAAGACAATAAAAAAATATGACCATAAGATTTGCATATATTTTTCCAAAGAAGATGTATGAATGGCCAATATGCCCATGAAAATATGCTTAATTTAACATCATTAGTCATTAGAGAAATACAAATTAAAACCACAATGAAGTACTATTTCATACCCAATAGAATGGCTACAATTGATAAAACAGGCAATAACAAATGATGGCAAGGATGTAAAGAAACACGAAGATACTTAGGACTTTCGGTAAGAATGTAAAATGGCGCAGCCACTTTGGAAAATGTAGATTAGCTCTCACCTGGGACCTGGGGTAGGAATGAGGATTAACTGCAAACTAGCACAAGGGATCTTACTGGGGTGATGAAAATGTTATACAACTGGATTATGGTGATGGCTGCACAACTCAGTAAATCTACTAAGTATCACTGAATTACACACTTTAAAATGGACAAATTAGATGTATATAAATTATACCTCAATTAGGTTGGTTTTAAAAACAGGGGGGAAAAAAAAACTGCCCTTAAAACCCTTCTCTCTCCCTCTGCAATGAACCACCCTCTTTTTCTTTTTCCAGAAAATTTAGGGTGGTAGTCAATTTGAATTGGCTGACCTCAAACCTACTGAATTTCTGTGAGAGAAGTTCTGGCATTGGTTTAAAACAAACAAAACTAAACCTCCATGTGTAATTCTCATATTCACCAGTTGGTTTAAGAATCTCTGCTATAAACTCTCTTTCCACTCTAGTGACCTGTCTCCTCCACAAAAATAGTGAACTTCCAGTGAGAGAAACAAACTCTAGCTAGCTCCCTCACTTCTATCCAGTTCACCTGGTTGACAATAGCTGCCTGTGGCAACATACGACATCAGTGACGGGAAACGACAAAACAAAGAAACCAAACGGACATTGAGTATTCTCTCTGACAAGCACCGGATGTCAAATGAAATGTGTATTATGGAAATAGTAGAATCTCTGGGCAGACAGGTCCTATCTGCTTAATACTGAAACCCAACTGTCAAATTTTATTTTAATTTTTGCAAGTAATCTCTGATTTGAATACTCTCTATCCATTTAGTTATGTGTTTCTGCTTTGTTTGTTCTATTGACAAACACACTGACAGTTACTTCAGGCCTTGGAAAGTCAATAATGCACATTACTTACATATTTACTCATACACAGGCTGGGCTTTAAAAACAAACATTTTGAGTAGCAAAATTACATTTTGGCTAATATGTTAGGAATATTATTTAACAAGAGGCCAATACAGGCTAGAGTTAAAGACAAACAACTACTACCTAAAGATAAATTTTAGATTATGGCACTTTAAACTGTGTTAGAAAATGCCTTTATATGACAAAGCTCCTCTATCCAGAGCACAGCTGTCCAGACATGCTGTGCATATCTTAGGAACTCTGGACTATAAGTAAAAAGTGTTTTCTTCATAGTACCTAGTGATAGCAACACATACATTTGTGAAAAGCAAAATACCCCTACAGCATTTACATTAGAAAGGATTACTATCTATACCATAAATTCATAAGAAAAACCTGAAGAGTCAAATAGATAACAAAAATAGGATTTTTTTAACAAGAAATGTAATTAACAAATATTGGAAAATATTTATGTTCACTAATTATCAAAACTACCAAACATATTGTAACATTTTATTAAACCATTCAATCTACCAAAAATATTAAGTAGCTGATGATTGCAAGGCTACAACATAGCTTTAGAGAGCTGTTGGCTACATTACAGGAATCATTAAACATGTCCTTGTTCTTTAGTCATTAAAAGGATCCACTTTAGGAATTTAAAAGTACTTTTAAGAAGATACCTAAAATAAGAATTTGAAGCATAGTGCATTGTGGTTTGCATAAAAAAAGAATGCAGATGTAAACTTATATATATAGGATGGGTAAACAACAAGGTACTACTGTGCAGCACAGAGAACTATTCAGAAATAAATGCAAAAGAAACTAAAGAGACGATAGCAAAAATCAACAAAGCTAAAAGCTAGTTTTTTGAAAAAATAAACAAAATTGACAAACCGTTAGCAAGACTCATTAAGAAACAAAGGGAGAACCAAATTAACAAAATTAGAAATGAAAATGGAGAGATCCCAACAGACAACACTGAAATACAAGGCAGCTCTATGCCAATAAAATGGACAACTTGGAAGAAATGGACAAATTCTTAGAAAAGTATAACTTTCCAAAACTGAACCAGAAAGAAATAGACGATCTTAACAGACCCATCACAAGCAAGGAAATCGAAACTGTAATCAGAAATCTTCCAGGAAACAAAAGCCCAGGACCAGATGGCTTAAACAAGAAAAAAGTCAAATAAATAACCTAACTCTACACCTAAAGCAACTAGAGAAGGAAGAAATGAAGAACCCCAGGGTTAGTAAAAGGAAAGAAATCTTAAAAATTAGGGCAGAAATAAATGCAAAAGTAACTAGAGACCATAGCAAAAATCAACAAAGCTAAAAGCTGGTTTAAAAAAAAAAAAAAAATTGACAAATATTGGATAATATTTATGTTCACTAATTATCAAAACTACCATATTGTAACATTTTATTAAACCATTCAATCTACCAAAAATATTAAGTAGCTGATGATTGCAAGGCTACAACATAGCTTTAGAGAGCTGTTGGCTACATTACAGGAATCATTAAACATGTCCTTGTTCTTTAGTCATTAAAAGGATCCACTTTAGGAATTTAAAAGTACTTTTAAGAAGATACCTAAAATAAGAATTTGAAGCATAATGCATTGTGATTTGTAGAAACAAAGAATGCAGATGTAAACTTATATATAGAATGGGTAAACAGCAAGGTACTATTGGACAGCACAGAGAACTACTCAATATCCCGGGACAAACCACAACACAAAAGAAAATTGTAAAATGTATGTATATATGTGTATACATTTATATACACATATATACATACATATATATACGAATCACTTTGCTATACAGCATAAATTAACACAAGATTGTAAATCAACTATACTTCAATAAAAAAATACTAAAACTATTATGAATCTGATACAAAGACATTCATTAACATTGCATTAGTAAAAGAGTAGAAACAAAGGTCTAACAGAAACAGAATAGTTTTAATAAACTATTATGCATCAAAAATATAAAGCATGTAGCAAAACATTAAAATGCTTATGATTTATATCAAGTAAATAAAACAGAAACGTGGATTTATAATCTAGAGTTTCTACTGTTTGCTAAGAGATACAAATATAAAAGACATAGTTCCTATCCTTATAAAGAATAGGCAAAATAAGACAGAAGGCAAGACAGACAAGAAAACAGACAATCAAAACACAGGACAATAAGGGTTCTGGCAGATGTAATCACATGAATCTTTAACATAACTTCACTGCCTGAATTGGGGCATCATGTTCTATCCCTTCCCTTAGCTAAGGACTAGTAGTCTGAAGAGGTAGGGAGACTAGGAAGCTCACATGAGCAGGGCTCCCAGGGAATCCCTGCACTGTCCAGATGAAAAACAGGACTATTTGAACAAGAAGGATTACCAGGAAAATTCTACAATTTTATGAACACAGAGCCAAACACAGTTCGGATGTGCTTGGTGTACTTAAACTGTAAGGGGAAAAGCAATTCTGTCACACTTGCGACCATACTTGTAACATTCTCAAAGGTCCATTACCATTAGTGTTTTTCACTTTTCCAAAATTTTCATTTTTTACAGAGGAAAATTATATTTATTGTAAAACAACAACAACAACAAAAATCAAACGACACACAAACATACAAAGTAAGAATCATTTCATTTTTCTGAGTATATTATTTTCTCATACCGGATACAATCCAGGTCTTGAAGGTGTATTCTGCAATCGTGAATCCTGGGGTGGTAGATGGTCAGGCATTTGTGGCTCAGAACCATAGTCTTTCATCTTTTGAAGCTGTTCTTTCTGCTCTCTGTAAACAAAATTACCATTGTATTTAAGGCATGTGTTCTCCATTCCTAAATAACCATAATTAATATCAAAAAACAAAAAAGGAAACTAAAAACCTTGTTTCAAACTCTCTACAGTACCCATAAAACATCTCCAGGGTAGTACTTTTTTGTCTTTACGAGCTAACTTATCAGTCATCTACAACCTATAAATAATGATAAGTTATTGAAGACCCAGAAGGGATCAATTCTAGAACCTGCCTCTTTAGTCTATTTTAGTATCTCACCTACTTGTCATGTTTTTTATTCATCCAACCAAAATCTCTTGCTGATTTTTTTTTGTTCAATAGTCTTTAGGTAAGTGGTTGAAAAAATGGTGGCACATGGGCCAAATGTATTTAGATATATACGAATACACAAAAAGGCTTTTTACAATTTGGCTTTCATTATCAGTTTTAAAAATCTGTGCTAGTTGAAACTATTTACAAAGCAAAAAAATACATATTTTTCAATATAAATTCAAATTTTAAAGCAATTTGGAAACACTGGGCCTACATTCCCACATGCAAGCAATCAGCTCAGTGGAGTGGTGGCTGCCCTCCTTAGATGAAGCATTTTGCTACAATCCTCACACTCAGTAGAGTTATACTGGCCCACTTTCACTCATTTTAGTTACCTGTCTGGTTCTTGTGGGCATTTTAGTTTAAGGCCCCTCTTGTATATGGTGAGAATAACCGTTAGCCTATACCTTTAAAAACAACACTTCATGTTCCTAAAGAGTAATAGGTAACTCTTCAAGATTCTCTTTAAATGGCTGGTCAAATTCCTTTCACTTTGTCTTACACCCACAATGAACACATACAACACCTACCACAACCTCTTTAGACCTTTTACAATTTTCTTCCTACCATTTTTCAAAGTGTAATGACCCAAGTGAACAAAAAGTAAGGGTCAAATGTTAAGAAAAAGATGACTTCCTGCCTCATGTAACTCATATTATGACTTTCCTGACACAACATGGCTGACTTGTATTCAACTGTGACCATTATTGTCCATCACTTCACATATTTTGTTTAATTACGTGGCCTAGAAAGAGCTTTTAAAAAGGAATGATGAAGTAACTCTTATCCAGCACTTCTATACAAAGCAATATGGATGAAAAGGAAATTTCAAAAAGGAAAGAAACCTTGGTAGCTTAATAACATCAATCAGCTTAGTGTTCTCCATAAACAAAAAAGACTTTAGAGTTGGACAGACTTCAAATTCTAGGTTTACCAATTCTAGTAGCCAAGTGGTACTCTCTTGAGTCTTAGTGAAGTGAGAATACTACTCCTTATCTTTGCAGTCCTTTGAGATAAGGATTTGAAAAAGGAGGATTGAGACAATAACATAGTAAATTATCAGTACAGTACCAGCACACAGTAGGTGTTAAAGGTATCCATAATCCAAAAGTGAAAATAGTAGTAGCTAAGTGTTCCATAACATGCTTTCTACATCTTCATGAGCAATCTGGAAGTCAAATCCCTTAAAGCGTGTCTTCTGTAGACCACAGAAATTTGTTGTGTTGCCTGAGGCATCTTTCATTTTATATGTCTTTTTCCTCATCATACTTTCCCAGTCATAAAGCTTCAGCTATAATTTTAATTGGCATAATCCACAAATATAGACCAGAATTGAAAAATGAAAGAAACACAATACACTAGAATATATAAAAAACTAACCATTAGTTTATTTTTGCAAAACTTTGCTAATTCCTAAGAAATTATTCAAAAAGTAATTTCTCATTGTAATCTGTCAGTGACTCCTAAATTCTTCTCTCAAGATATAGTTGGTATACGGATTACATGAATCAATACATACAAAGCTCTTAGTACAGTCCCTGGTATATAGCAAATGTGCAGTAAATGTTAACCTTTATCGTTACTGCTACTAATGGGAAGTGTTACGTAGAAAGCTATACACAGGTGATTGTTAATCAAGACATCTAAGTTCTATTCTCCATTTTACAAAGAAAATATTTGATTATATAGAAACAAGCAACAACCTCAAGCAGAGATAGCTGCTTCTGGTTATAATGAAAGATAAAACATTCCCAAAAGAATCAATGGTTAGACAAATCTGAGGCTGCTTCCAGGTAAACCATTCTTAGCTTCAAAGAGAAAAAATATAAACCCTTCCACCACTTTCTGAAGTTATACCAAAGATTAGTGAATATGAAGTCTATCAGATCTAGTAACAAAGAGGGGGAAATAAAGGATTTTACATATGAGCTCTGTGAAACCCAGAGTACCAGAGAGTTGAAGTCTGAACTTGACATAATCACAGGCATGACATGTCAGCAACATATCTATAAAAGTCAAGAATGGCTACCAAATTTTCCTTTTTCAGAACGTAAATTTATAATTAATACAGTTCCTAAATACCCATCCTACCCTAAAACAGCACTCAATGACTAGAAATTAAAATAATGTGGTTAGAACTTGAAGTAAAATGATTCCATTCAAATATATCACATCGTTTTAAAAAGAGCAGTATGCATGTGGCTTGTTCTAGAAGAAATGATCTTAAGTAGTCAACTTACCGAAGCATTTTCAGTTCTTGTGCAGCTTTCAGAATGATTTCATGCTGCCTCTGACTGAGAACCATTACCCCTCCAAGGCCTTGGTCAGAGTCTAAGTTTGCATCCGACCCCATCATTTCAGAAGAATGATGTGAGGGCATATGTTCCGCCATGGGGGAATGTCTATCCACATCAGATGGGTACCATCTGTCTGACAATCGTTCTCTTTCCCAGTCCATTCTGTCAGGAATATAATCTCGCTTTTCCCGCCAGGTATCTCCTCTTTCTGGATACTCTCGGATCCTCAACTCACCCCTATCACGGAAATCTCGATCATACCCATGGTCTCGGTTTCTTTCTTCTCTCCATCTATCATCCCGGTATCTATCCATAGGTGGGAGAGGTGGGAGGGGTGGTAAAGGTGGAAGAGATGGAATATCTCGTTCACGAAACTGCGATTCTTGTTCATCCAGTGGTCTCCCATAATCTCTGTCCCACTCATTATCCAAATTTCTATCATATAGATCCATAGGTCTTCCGATGCGGTCCACATCCCTGTCCACGTCCCTGCCCATGTCCCTGTTGTAGTCCTCGTCCATATCCTGCTCTCTCTCCCAATCATCCCACCAAGGGCCTCGCCTATCTCCATCATGAGATCGAGATGGGGCTGAGAACCTGTCCTCTCTGTTATACGGATCTAGAGTATCATCTTGATAGTCATGTTCACATTCTCTCCAATATCTCTCTCTGTCCCAATCATCAAGTCTTTCTCGTTCCATTGGAGCATTTCTACCATCTAACGGGAACTCTTCATGCCCTCTCTCTTCTCCGTGGTTCCAAGGAGCCCTAGGAGGCTCATCTCGGTGATACGGATACATTTTTTCCCCACCATCTCCTGGTTCTGGTCTAAATGGACCTCTGTCACGACCAAATTCTGGTCTTCCCAGACCCCTCTCCCGACCACCAGGCCCTCGAGGTAGTCCCCTCTCCCTGCTCCCAGCTCTTCGGGGTGGCACTCTCTCTCTACTCCCAGGTCTTCGAGGGGGTCCTCTCTCCTGACTGCCAGCCCTCCGGGGTGGTCCCCTTTCCCGGCTGCCAGCTCTACCTCTGTCCTGGCTGCCTTGCAGACCACCTGGCACTTTCTCCCGACTGCTTCCTGGCCTCACCAGCCCTCTGTCCCGGCTACCTTCTCCTCTGCTCATCTTCTCTCGACTGTCTTCTCTTCTACCCATCATTTTATCACGAAAGTCTTCTTGCTTGACCAACCCTGGGCCGTGGCTGATTGCCTGGCCTCGATCTCTACTGACTAGTCCTTTATCCCGTGTGTCTTCCATTCTGCTTTGCCCAGGACCTCTGTAAGATGAGCTGCTGCCTTGATTGCCTTCTAACCTATTGTCTCTGTTATCTGGCCGAGGTAGCCCTTTATCTTGGTTGTTTTCTGAATGGGGCAGACCAATACCCAAAGGTTTAAAATCATTATCTGCAGTTAGTGATGATGATGTTGCTACTGCTGTTCCTCCCTCCATCCCCCCTGTTTTTGAGGGAAAAGTAGATTGAGAAGGTACAGCTTTATTTGCAAGGGGTACAGGCTGAGTAACAGCTTGGGCTTTGTCCATTTGAGTCTCCATACTTTGAGAATTCTGGTCCCAATCAGAAGGCTCTATGGGCCCTTCCGAGACTTCGCTTTTAGGTGGCTCTTGCTGAGAGTCGCTTAGATTCTCATTTGACTGAGCCGCCTTGGCATCCTTTACATCTGCAGCAATGGGAAATGTAGCTGATTGCATTTTAAAATTCTTCTGCTGGTTACTACTGGTGTCTGCTAATGGTTCTTTGTTTCCTGGTTCTGCTTGTGACTTAGGCTGCTGCTGATGTTGCTGTCCAAAAGTTGGTTTGGGGCCTTTCCACTGTGGTCCACTCTGTCGAGGACTGAGGGATGTATTGGGGGTAATATAGAACTGAGATGCTGGCCCCCGGGGAATCATTCCCCATTTGCTTTTAGTGCCCTCTGCTGGGTGACCTTCATATCTGGGTCTTGGCCCATCGGGGCGATTTCCTTCAAAACGAGGCCCTTTGGGTCTCGGTCCTTCACACCTTGACCCTAAATCCTCAAATCTTCGAGGACCATCAAATCTACAAGTAAAACAAAAGATATTACTCAAGACAGTAAAGTGAAAAAAAATTTTTTTCCATGTAAAAATATTTAAGGCAATCTTGCCTTAGAATTTTTTTACAAAAATGACTGTTAGTCATTAAACAAATCCTGAGATACCAATATCTTAGAACCATTAATGTTAAGGTGGCAGAGCTCAGAAGGTCTTAGGACAAATCTCCTGCAGCAAGTCACTGATATACTGAATTGTTAAAAAGCAATGATTAATATTGTACCTTAATAGACAGAAAAGTCCACTCATTTCAAACAGGGAAAAAAAAAAAGTCCCATAGCTAATTCTGAGAGTACTTTTAGTTAAATTATAACTAAAAACTAAAAATGAAACAATTAGCAACGTAACATAGAATGAGTATAAATACTGTTGGAGCTAACATTATCATCTTGACTGACAAAAGTTTAAAAACAGCAGCCAGCTATGTCCTAAAAGCATGCCCCAACATTTAAAAATCTGGACCAAGATATTCTGCTATGGACCCACTTGCACATTTGATAAATATTTAGCATATATCCTCTTCAAGTACTACGCTAAGTCCAAGAGATACAAGAATAAAATGTGTTCTTTGTCCTCAAAGGGCTTACAACCGAAGAGACAGAATCTAAGTGTAAATAACTGACAAAAGATGCAATGACTAACATCTATCTGCATATAATAAGGACAAGAGAGGAGAGAATGGTCAATTCTACGAGAGTGAAGGTAGTGCTGTCCAATAAAGGCTTTCTATAACAAAAGATGCTTTAGTTAACTCTTGAGAAACAAATTCTCAGAGACCAGGTTAACAGAGGACTGGAGATGATGCAAGTGGGTGGCAAGGACATCCCAGGCTAAGGAAGCACTATGAGGAAAAGCAGAGAAACATACCAGCACAGCACGTTTGGAAGTGCAAATAGTCTGGCACGGCTGAAGGGAAGAGGAGACGAAGTCTAGGAGAGCCGGGAGAGAAGGAGCGGGAAAGCAGCACACTGAGAGATAAGGCAAAGGGACAGGCCAGGGCCAGCTTCCAGGAGATCCTGTGCACCTCGGGGCCACAGACTACCGGTACTCCTCCAATACGCATTTCCATTCTTCCTACTCTAATGGAACCTCTCCATTTTTAGCAAAACATAAGGATAGCCAGACTAAAGACTCTCTTTCCCAAACTCTCTTGCAGGGAGAACTTGCAGCCATGTTCTGGCCAATGAGCTGAGAGTGAAAATGATTTACACATCCTTCTGGGTGGTAAACTTAAAGGGAAGAACAGTCTTCTCTTCACCATATTCTCTTTTTCATGCTGGCTGTCATACTGTGGTGGGGCATCCTGAACCATGTAGATATGGACCACATACTAAGAGATGGTAAAGTAACAAATGAGAAGGAATCTGGATTCTTGACACTATAGAGTCACCACGTAAGTCCTAAAAGAGAACAAACCTCCAACTTGTTAAAGCCATGTGACTTTGGATCTCTGTTTTAACAGACTAATTAATTCAGCTGGGTAAGGAGTTAGAGGGCTTCCCGGTGGCGTGGGTGCTAAAGATCCTGCCTGCCAATGTAGGAGACATAAAAGATGCAGGAAGATCCCCGGAGGAGGGCACGGCAATCCACTCCAGTATTCTTGCCATGCAAGAATCCTCGTGGAATAGTCACAGTCCATGGGGTCACAGAGTTGGACATGATTGAAGTGACTGTGCTTGCACAAAGAGTTAGAAATTACCTTAAGCACTCAGACACTAAATATCTTATTTTTAAAAGATTGCTCCAGCAGAAAAGTAACAGATGGATAAGTGGGAAAAGTTGACGGTACACTGTCTCTACAGTCTAAGTGAAGGTGAAGTCTGTTCTAAGACGGTAACTGCTATGAGGATGAAAAGGAGGAGATAAAAGTGAGAAATGTGAAGGATGGTAAAGCTGATAAATTTTCTAACAGGTGCAATTTAAAATACTGGAAAAGGAAGAACTAGGACGGTTCCAAGGTTTCTGGCTGAGGTGACAGTGATGCCTTTCATGCCTCTAAAGAGAAATAGAAGGGTTTTTCTTTCATTTGTTAGGGAAATAAATGAGTAATAAATTCAGTTTCAGCAAAATACTGACTTCCTATCCCTGTGACATTAGGCTTTGCTGATCTGGAAGTCTTAGTTTCAAAGGGAGGAGTGCCTCTATTGGGGACACAACAATGACTCTATTAAAGCTTCAGTTTAGACTGCCATCTGGCCACTTTGGGTTCTGAAACGACAGGCAAAGAAGGCAGTTATTACTGTACTGGCTGGGGTGAGTAACACTGTCTTTCAAGGGGAAACTGGGTACTTTTTATACAATGAGGGTGAGGGTATGTCTGGAATGGAGGAGATCCTCCAGGACACTCCTTACTACCTTCTATGTCCTATGACTAAAGTCAAGACAAAACTACAATTACTCAATCCAGGCAGGGCTGAGAATACCTTAGACCTTTCAAGAATGAAAGTTTGGGACACTTCACCAGGCAGGGAACCTGGACAAGCTGAGGTGCTTGCTGAGAGCAAAGAGAATATGGATTAAGTAGAGAAAGAAGGTAGTTATAAACACCAATTGAAATTACATGACCAGTTGCAGAAATACAGGCTGTGATAGAGTAGTTCTTCCTTAACATTTGCTATGAAATGTTTCAATATATACATATTTATTAGTCAGATATTTCTGATTGATTCTTCTTCCTAATCATCTAACGTAAGATGTATTAGTACTGCTGCTGCTGCTGCTAAGTCGCTTCAGTCGTGTCCGACTCTGTGCAACACCACAGACGGAAGCCCACCAGGCTCCCCCGTCCCTGGGATTCTCCAGGCAAGAACACTGGAGTGGGTTGCCATTGCCTTCTCCATGTATTAGTACTGGCCAGCTTTGTATCTCAGAATTTCAGTCACAGACTATTAAAGAGGAGATGTGAGCCAGCTAGGGAGAACGACGTCCATTTCCCCCCCCCTCCCCCCAAAAAAAACACCAGAGACTTTTCTGGGAAAATGGTTAGAAAGTTGTTGGTTGTCTAGGGATAAATATTTCATGTTAGATACAAATCCCCCCCACCCCGTGACCCACCCTAACCAGAAACACAGAAGCAAGAGAACTCTGGGAAATTTACTTCAGCCCAGTCAAGCTGACACAGAGTCATCACAAGGAATTTTAAAATGCATAAACTCACTATAAACAGAGAGAAGGGGCCACTGGCAGATGAGAATTTGTTTTTAAACTCTGGACGCAAAGAACAAACATGAGTGGTAACACATGGAGCTGCAGTTTAGAGTGCTGGGATCAAAATGGGGCTGGCTTGCGCACAGAAACCCAGGGAGAGTCAGGATTCTCAGATGCCAGGGATGATGGGGAAAAGACTAGGTAAGACTTGGGGCTAAAATGATGTAAATTAAAATCCATGTTCTAAAGCATCGATCAGCCATTCCCTGGGCTTGAACTGTCTCTAAATGCCTGAGTTTGAGGGTCCCCTAGCATTAGCACACAATCCTCTGGCCTATCTCCTACAGCAAAGTCTGACAATTGATGAGCCCCCCTCCACATGCATAAACAGCACCCCATCAGTTTCACTGTCTCCCTCTCTTAAGTATAAATGTACAATTAAAGATCACAATATATTTGAGGAATGGCTCCAAAATGAAAGGAAGAGAATATGGATCTGGAAGAAAGAGCAATAATGCAAAAAAGCGGAAGAGAACTTAAAAAAAAAAAAAAGAACTCTCAAGTTAGTATCCTCAGAGAGAATTCTTCAGATATAGCATCAGTAAATCAAGAACAATTTGCCATATATAAAAAAGGATCAGAACCAGAAGAACTATAGAAATTAATTCTCAAAATAGGCAATAAAAGGACCAGAAGTATCTCAGAAAGTTTAACAAAATGAGAGAGAACAGAAAGAAATATAGCAGGTTCAAAATACTACAAATGAGGAGTTCCAGGAAAACAGAAAACAAGAGAAAAAATAAAAAATAAATGAAGAAATAGGACAAAGAAATTTCCCAGAGTTAGACTCTAATTTCCAGATGGAAAGGGCCCAGTTCACTAAGTATCCAGTACAGTTAATAATACTGAACAAATAAAAACCACTATAAAATATTAAAATAATGAAGATTAAATAAAAATTTCCTAGTAGTAGGGAGAAACCATCTAAAAAGGAAATGAATCAGAACAGCACAACAGTTTTACTAGGTAACAAAAAGAGAATGCTTGCTGACCCTAAACACTGATCCTAAATTAGGTTCAACTTCAATGGACATGAGTTTGAGTAAACTCTGGGAGTTGGTGACAGACGGGGAGGCCTGTTGTGCTGCAGTCCATGGGGTCACAAAGAGTCGGACACAACTGAGCAACTGAACTGAACTGAAAACTATTAAATAGTATGGCACTGGTACAAAAACAAACATACATATCAATGGAACAGAAGAGAGAGCCCAAAAACAAACCCAGGCGCATGCAGTCAACTAATTCATGACAAAGGAGCCAAGAATATACAATGCAGATAGGATAGTCTCTTAAATAAATGTTACTGAGAACAGACAACCACATGCAAAAGAATGAAACTGGACTACTACCATATATTATACACAAAAATTAACTCAAAATGGATGAAAGACAAGTGTAAGACCTGAAATCATGAAACTTCTAGAAGAAACAAAAGGCAGCAGGATCCTTGACACAGGTCTTGGCAATGATTTTTTGATTCTAAACATCAAAAGCAAAGAAACGAAAGCAGGACTACATCAAAAAGTAGGACTGCAAAAAACTAAAAAGCTTCTGCACAGTGAAGCGAACCATCAATAAAATGAAAGGGCAGCCTACTGAATGGTAGAAACTATTTCCAAATCATGTATCTGATGGGCTTCCTTGGTGGCTCAGCTGGTAGAGTCTGCCTGCAAAGCAGGAGATTTGGGTTTGATCCCCTGGTCTGGAAGATCCCCTACAGAAGGAAATGGCAACCCACTCCAGTGTTCTTGCCTGGCAAAT